TTGGAGATGTTAAGTATTACCCTTTCTCTGAGAACAGTTAGTGGTAAAGATGGCTAAAAAAAAGGTTGTTGTTTAGATTGGGTACTGTAACTGAAGCATGTTCCCATTTATTTTTCACCTTTTTAAGACCAACTGAGTGTGCAAGAACTCTTAATCCATGACTTCATGATTCCATTTCACTGGGAAATACATAGGAGGTAGCACAGAGGCCAAATTTCCTTAGTCATTATTCAACCTAAGAAGGATTACATAAATTAAATGAGACAAAATTGTGTTGACCATAAGACATCAGTCAATGGCTATAAAATAATAGCTATATGTCTAAAAATCCCATATCCACTGCACAATAATTAAGATGTTTTAAACAACCAGAGCTCTAGTGAACCCCCTTAAAGGATGTGCTAATTTTATATTACATAATATTATGTAAATATGAGATTTGCAGAAGCTGCTAGTCTCTTGTGGTCACTGTGTCTCCAAAACTGCAATTAGATGCCACTTTCATGCCACCAAACTATTTGGTAGGTGTGTAATGATAAAGCTTTTTGTTTCATATGACCACAAACATAAGTACATGGAGTTCAATAGACACTACAAGAACTTTGACTAGAATTGGGTTCTAGTGATTCTGATTCTGATTCTATGGTCAGATGAGACAAAAATAGAGCTTTTTGGTAACAAACACTTCGGCTGATTTGTATAAAAGAAGGATGGTCATACAGAAAAAAGGACCTAATCCCTAACGTTGAGGATCTGTGATGTTTTGGGCTTCTTTGCCTCCAATGTCCTGGGAACCTCAGAGAAACATGGCATCATAAACTCTGTGAAGTACAATGAAAATCTAGCTGCCTTATCAAAAAAGCTAACACTGAGCTGGATCTTCCAGCAGGACAATGATCCACAACATACATCAAAATCCACGCAAAAATGGTTCATAAACCACAGAACCAAGTTTTTGACACAGCCATCCAAACCCGCTGTTCTAAACCCCATTGAAAACCTGTGAGGTGAACTGAAGAGGAGAAAAATAAAAGAACCCAGCACCCTGGAGGATCTTGAGAGATTCTGTATTGAGGAGCGTTCTTAGATTCCTTGTTTTGTTTTCTTCAATCTCATCAAGCACTGTAGAAGACTCACTGCTGAAAGGGGTGTTGCACAAAGCACTAAATGCAGATGTTGCAATAAATGAGATGCGTTTTAGTCTTTAAAAAAAACGGTTTTTTTTTTGTTTCTTAGACTAAATTTGCTTCAATTAAAGGTTTGATCTCTTATATGTTCAAGGTCAGGTTACCAAGGGTGCTAATGAGGCTGAATGTACAACCCAATACAAAGTGCATCTGCAAAAGGACCGACAAACACAAGTCAATAACAGCAAATATTCAATCTTTTTATTTAAAAATAATTTATTTGTATATAATTGGAATGATGCCAGGCTGATACATCTATGATGGCAGTTGTAAGTTTCATAAAGATAAAATTCCAAAACAGGGAAAAAAATAACATTTTTTTCACTTTCTCAAACCTGGACAAAAAAAAATGGATAAATATATTAGTAAATAAATATATTAGTGACATTACCATATTGAAATGTTTTTTTATTATATATAAAAATGTCTATTATATATAAAATACAACACTTTATCTCATTAAAGTTTTTGTCTTTTTTTTTTTCTTTTTTACACAAAATATCGAAAATATACTGGCATATCCCTTCGGTCTCTGGAGGGACTTTGCTCTATTAAAAGGCAGTTTCAGCTCATTTGCCATCAAAAAAAGCAAATAAACAATGAAAAAAAAACGAAGGACCAAAAAAGGAAACAAAATCACCCTTAATATTCAGTGACATTTCGTAGATTTCCATGATGTTTTCTGGTACCGGTAGCTACATAATGCTTAGCTTGTTTTGCTTCGAGTTCCTCTCCTAAATCATTTTTGTAATTTTTCCAAAGCCAAAGTGCTGATTGAGTTATTTTAAGACAAAGCCTGCGATGAAATAGCATTATAGGCCGAGACATTGCATGAGATTAAAGGCAACAAAGAAGTGAAAAGCAAGTGTCCTGTAAGGCAAATTCACGATAATCCAAGTTAAGAGCACTTATTTATTGACCATATAACTGCAAATGACAAACTATTCTACGTTTGATCCACGTTAGATATCCATCACATGACTCAACCGTTTAATCATTTCGCTTTCCATTACTTTAAAAAGACTTTGGTTTAACAGAGTTACTCTTCTAGCACTGCCAGTTGAAATGTAGGATTAAAGTAATAGTGGTTTAGTCTGTAGGATTAGTTCAGTTTCAACATTCCACATTTTAGCCAAGCACAATATTTTGCAAGGATGAATAATAATACGGTAACATCTGCACTGAATTTCAGTTGGTTTTTGATAGAGCCACTTTTTGAATTTGTACAAAGGTGTCCAAAAATATGGCGGTGATTACAAAGCCAGCAAGACAAAAGGGGCAGCTGCAGTAGCATTAAGGCCAAAACATCTGTGCTTACAGTTTAAACGCTTTGGCTCTTTTACCACATGACTCTGTACTGAGAAGAGACACGCGAAAAAGCTTTCATGTGAAACCTCAGGCACTAGGGAAACTTTGAATCTGAAAATTAGAATCATTAGATATACTTCAACTTTTAAATGATGAGAAGAAATTTGCATAATCTTCAATAAACATTGTATATGAAAGCTACGAAAGTATAAATTTAGTGGCAATTTTCCATTGTTTCATTGTTGCTTTTTAGATTTGTTTAAGAACTGCTTTAGTAGTTTAAGACTAAAGACAACAGACAACGTCTACTGGTTATCTATCCATGTGAAAGTGGATAGCTATTGCAATACGCTATCAACATATTCCAAAATCTAAATAGAATTTATTGTAATTTTAATATATTACATTCTCTATGGGTAAAGCAGACCAAAATGACCAAAAATGGACTGATTTCATACTTCTTGGGCCATTGAGGCACTGATTTCAGTACTTCTTGGGTCATTCGGGCATTGATTTCAGGACTTCTTGGGTCATTCAATAATGCACTGATTTCAGTACTTCTTGGGTCATTCGGGCATTGATTTCAGGACTTCTTGGGTCATTCAATAATGCACTGATTTCAATACTTCTTGGACCATTCAAGAATGCACTTGTTTCAGTAATTCTCAGACAATTCAATATGCCAATATATGTTTTTTCTCTTTTTTAAGGTTCGGTGGACATGGCTTTTACCATAATTTCAAAATAAGCAACAAACAAAGGAAGAAGTAATGAAAACAAACATCAGGTAGTGAGAAATCTGGGCAAGAGGCACCTTTGGCAAGCTTGTATGCTGGCAACTGTTTCTGAAATGACCACGTCCTTATGGATACTTGAGAGCGTCACACGCGAGGTAAAGGTCAGAGGTGAAAGCAGGCACCAAGGGGCAGTGTAATCCTTCCTCAGCCCGAGCAACACAAGCACTGTACAGCCGATATGGAAAAAAATGACCAAAGCGGAAAGTAGCTTCTTTAATCCTTGCACCTCCGCTAACTGTGAATGCTAAAACATTTTCAGTCAGTTTGCTTAGTTTCGACACAAAACAACATCAACAAAATAACATGAAACAAATGACAGCTGCCTTTCTCGAATTAACGAACACAAGACCTTAAACCTTAATGACCTCTGGACAGTCAGCAAATCCTTTTTTTTTCGAGGACAGATTAACATAAAGCGCCCTGTCTCTCTTCTGGTTTACCAATAAATCAGAAGTATGCAGAGAAGGGCGCCAGGCAAGAATTTGTTTGGAAGTACCATCTCGCAAACAGGACTTTTCTGATTGGTTATCTGAGGTAGGCTGGAGAGAGAGAAAAAGAGAGCTATACAGAGAGGCAGGCACTGAACCCAGCGCATTACATCATCGATTAAGATGACTTCATGGCCGCTGCGACCATGCAGGTGCGCAGATAAGATCGCAAGAGTAACAGGGATGTGGATTTCCAAGCGCCTTCCATGACACAAGAGCTGCTGGTTCTAATTCGGCTTCAAGGTCCTAGCAGCCCACAGGATATGAAGTCATATGGTGGTACAGAGTGTTGGCTTAGCAGTAATGAACAAAGGTATTCTTTTTTTTTTTTTTCTTCTTCACTTTATCACCTACATCAAATACTGTCAAGACCAGAACAGAAAGCTACAGTGGGTTGTAAAGCACGAATCTCAATGCTGGTGACCTCCCTGAAAGGAGATTTGTAAAGATTGCTATCTCAGCAGGGTAATACTCAGCTAAGGATAAGTCAAAGAGTTTGTGGTGAGGCATTGAGGTAACTGAGGAATTCTTGGACTCGTTTCTTTGAATTAAGTTTCTGAATAGTTTCTATGAGGGAAAGAAAACATTAAAACACAAAACAAATCATGTTACCCTTTTGTGAATTTCCAACATCAACATATCTCACTTCACTGAATGACATGTTAAACCTGAAGTAGTACAGAAAAGAACCTGTCGACAAAAACCTGTAGTGGCAAGTATTCACTGGACCCAATGATCAAATGACACCCAGAACCTAGTACCTGGATAGTACCTTTAAAGGGAAGTTCCAGCAATGTTTCAACATTTCTGCATGATTAAATGGTTTGATGTGAAATGCGAGTCAGAATCCAATCACAGTGGTGATAGGAACCAGACGTCTGATGTGTTTAATGCCTCTAAAAGCTCCAGACAGAAAGCTTTCACAAGAAATGGTCTGCCTGATGCCTGAAACACTGCTTTGCGATAGTTTTAAGAAGGTTTTCGATTATGATGTACACTGTAAAACACATTCATAGTGGAGAGGTACATGCAAGGCTTTCTAAGGCAAAAAAGTCATCCAAAAAGCCCTTTTTTTTAGATTTACCACTATTTTAACATCATCATTACATATAAAAAAACCTAGTTGTTTTAGACAGTAATTAAAACATTAAGATGTTGCAACATGTAGTTCCTAACACCACCACTGTAAAGAAATTTACATTAATAAGTTTTACTGCAATAAATAAATTCACATCAAACCACTCTGAATGACTTTGTTTAGATCACAGTGATGTAATTAAGCAGAAATCTTGAAAAACTGATGGAATTCCCCTTTAACCAACAATTCTGACTGCCGGAAATGAGTTTGAGGTCAGAAACGCTGGACCAGACGGATTCCACCGATTCCTCAAATCCAACAACTGTCAGCCCTTTAGTTACAGACTTTAAAAGGACATTGAGAAAATGAAGGGAAATGAAGCTTGACTGGTGATGTGGAATTATTCAGAAGACTGTGAACAAGTGAGTGAAAAGAAGAAAGAAGGAGAGAGAGAGGCCGATAAGTTTTGTCCATTTCGGCTCTTGTGTAGCAGCGTGAGGTTTTGGGGATGGAGAGAGTTCTCAAACACCAGACTCTTCCTCTGATCCTGCAGAAAGAAACATACATGTCTTAGAAAAAGACTGAAATTTAAATTAAATGCAGTTAAATACACTGAAATTAAGTGGAAGTACAAGGTACATTAGGTTTGGTCGCAATGATGTGAGCTGACTAAAGCACAATGTGAACTGTGTCTCCATCCATTAGGTTGAGGCAAATATGTGTAAATAAATGGAGACCGAAAACATATTTAGTGAATCATGCTGTGGGTCTTAAGAAAACTCCAACTCTGTGGTCACCAACCCTCCTGAAGATCTACTTTCCTGCAGATTTCAGGTCCAACCTGGATTGCACATGCTGCTCCCCCTTACCTAAAACTCATGCATCTAAACCAGCCAATCTTGGCTTTCTGAAGAAGTTCATTAGCTGGAGCAGGTGTGGCAGACTCTGCAGGAAGGTAGATCTCCAGGACCAGGTTGGTGACCACTGCTCTAACATCTGACTATCCACCTTTAGAGGACAGCAGTGATGACTGCTTGTTTATTTGAGAGATTGGACTTCATAGAATTCTACCGATTTTTCAAAATTTCAGCACGATTAAGATGCAAACAAAGTCATTCTGAGTACTTTAATGTGAAACAAACCACTCTAGAGAAACTTTCTGCGTAAGAATTTTTTTTACAACAGTGGTGATAGGAACCAGACGTCCAAAACATTAATGGCGCAAAAAGCTACCTCACAGAAAGTTATTGCATGAAATGCCTAAATATAAGCTGCGTGAGACATTGTTTTATGATAATTCTTCGATTTACCCTTGGCCTAAAACATATTTTTTAAGTATATGCAGGGTGCAGCAGTACATGCAAGCTCACTGGCCTTTTTCGATACCAAATAAAAGGGCAGTTTTTCCATTACAGACATCATGACCCTGTCATGTTCCTATCACCACCACTGTAATGAAATGGGTAATTTTCTCTATAATGCATCATCTCACATCAAACCTCTCTGAATGACTTTGTTTTCATCTCATTGATTACACTGTACAGGAATTTTTAAAAATTGGCAAAATTCCCCTTGCAAAGCAGACAGTGAGTGTACATGCAACAAGCATATTGCGCCTGATTGCGAGCATGTTTGAATCCAGATGTACTCACCCTGATTATTGCGAACAGTTTGGCAGTAGAGACAGATGTCCGTGGGCAGCTCATGCCCGGGGCTGTGATGGGCCCTGCACAGGGGTCTGTCCAGAGGAGTGCTAGGGCCCAGCAACTGGGGCTCGGAGCGGGCCTGCTGCACTCGCTTCTGCCACACCCTTTGCGCCCCGCTGCAGCAGGGCCAATCACCCAGGCCACCTGAGTCCAGGATGAGAGGCACAGGCAGCAGCGCAGTGCCCATGTCCGGAGGTGGGGGGCAGCAGTAGCCCCCTGCGCCCTGTCCATAGTGGATATGAATGCTACAGTCGTCCTGAAGATCCACGCTCTGATGGAAGTGCACAGCAGGGAAGGGTCCCGCGGAAGCCTCCAGACTGCGGCTGATGGTCTTCCGGCGGTGTGGCCTTCCTGGGCCCTGGTGGCAGCAGGCTGGGGCAGGAGAGGGGAGGGCAGAGCTAGAGACAAGCACAGAGGGGCCTGAGGAGGAAGATCCTAAGTCCCGATCCTCCGTACCACCAGGGCTCAGCTTGTCTGCAGTGTCCAGTTTGGGGCAGTGGCAAGGGTAAGGACCCAAGTCCTGGCTGCCCGGTGAGTCCTTACTTGCGGGAGCACTACCTGAGCCACCTGCTGCCGCTCCTGCACTCCCCTGCTCCTCATCAGAGCCCCGGCCTGGCCCTTGTCCTGGCTCAGCCTCGTCGTAATAGTGGTGTCTGTGTCTGTGGTAGTGCACGTGGCTGAACACAGCCTTCTGCTGCGGTTCCTCAAGGCTGAACCCTCCTCCACTTCCCGTCTGGTTGACCCCGGAGTCCAGCGAGCGAGGCCTGGCAGCAGCTATCGGGCCATCCATGCTGTCCCGGCCATAGTAGATGAAGGGGTCGTACTCACTGCTGAGCGAGCTGCGGAAGGTGGAGCGACTGCCATAAACGCCCTGCAGGCTGACATCGGTGCAGTTGAGCACTGAGTCGCTGGAGGAGCCGTGGCACGGGCCCGAGCTGGAGTCACTGGCCGGCCCGTCAGGGAAGTAGCCGCTGCGTTCCGTGCGGTAGCTTGCACCCGAGCAGCTGCCGTTTTCCTGGCGACTCTGTGAGCCACCACCGCCGTGGCCACCATGGTGGTGGTGGTGGTGGTGGTTAGTGGGGTTATGCGGCCGGTTGCCAGGTGCACGGCTTGGGGAAGGGCAGTGGTGACAGGAGCGACGGGGGGCGGAGCAGTGGTGTCCAATGCCGCGGCAGCTGTGCGCTCCAGACGTCCTGTGTGGACGACCGCGGTGCCCGTCTGGAGCAAGGTGATAACTGCAGCTAGCGCCCAGAGGTCTGCTGGTCAGACAGCGCAGGCTGCGAGGGTGGAGGGGAGGAGAGCCGCTGTAGTGGCCCAGCTGGGGGTAGGGCCCTGATGGGCCACGTGGGTAGTGGGGCCGTAGGGAGAAGGGAATAGGGTGCTGGGGGTAAGAGTGGGGCGCTGGGTAGTGGTGCGGGTGGTGGTGCAGGAAGGCCTGGCTGTGCTCTGGAGGCGACTGCAGACGGCCTCGCTGAGGCTGACGAGTGGGCAGCTCTGTACCTGTTAGATCCAGAGAATGTCGTTAGGAAAAAGCAACAGAGTGATACAGAGATTCAGCTTCATGTGCAAGTTTGATCTGACAACATACAGCACTGTGCAAAAGTCAGAGACCACGATTCATTTCTTTAATTTCCAGTCAAAGTGGTCATTAAGTACACAGTAGTACGTTTCGCATTTTTCAGTGTCAGAAAAAAGGCAGAAAACATATTTAACGGAAAATGACACACAAGCACAGAACAACTAAATATATTATCACTTTTTTTCATATTTAATGTGTCCACACAGCTTCTTTTCTTTTTGTGAGACGTGCTTTCAGTTTCGAAAAGAAGTCTGTGGGGATGTTCTTCCACACCTTCAAAGCTTGAAATACTGTTTATCTTTTGGTGGTCTGCCAATTTTGGCTTGGATGTTAGGGGTCACATTTTCTGCATCTTTGCAGAAACTGTTTCTGGAACTCCAGTTTTTCTTGCTTTTGAATCTCCACAGAAAAATCTCCTGAAAAACAAATAACTTGTACTTAATAGCTGCTGTGACTGGAAATCAAATAAATGAAGGATGGACTTAAAGATCTACAGCTCCATTATCTAACACAGCGACAGCCATTCGAAGTTTACAAACCTGATGTTGTTTTCAGGTTTTTCGATGATAAATGTAAATGAAACCAACTACTTTAAGTTGGTTATGCTGAAGTTTTATGAATCAGTGAAGTTGTGTATAGGCTCAAGCTGGACGCATTCACTTGTCCATGTGTTTGCTGTTTACCCATAATGTTGTGCATGCAGAGCGGGCAGGTCCGATGCTGGAGCAGCCAGGGGTCCACACACTCTTTGTGGAACTCATGCGCGCATGAGATGATCCTCAGGTCCTTCGCCGAAATGCAAAAGAAGCATTACTAAACCAGTCCATGACTTCAAATGAGTAAAATAATTAATTAATAATTAAGTGTAATTATGCTAACAAATTTTCATTCACTATTAGTACGTCTGAGGGAAGTACTCTTTAAACCTTCTGCTGTCGGGACATTGATCCAGCAACCCTTACCTGTCCATCCAGGAACTCCTCGAGGCAGATGGCACAGACGGGGGTAGAGTTGGAGCTACTGTTGGAGCCCCGACCCCCGCGGGAGCGCTGAGAGCAGCCCTGAGAGCTGTACGTCCGTGTCTCCAGCCTGCTGATGGCCCGCATGGTCTGCTGATGCACTGAGTCCTGGAAAAGAGGACACAACGATTTCCAGAGACACAGTGATAAAGCCTTTAACTGTGGTGCCCTACTAGCTTCAAAGTGTCTTTCCCCTTTTTCTTTTTGAGTTTTGTACCAGAGCAATTAGGCTAATGTAGCTAACAAATAATGGAAGCTTATAGGCTATCAATTAGCATTGTGCAAACTGCATGGCTAAATCATTCCACACTTGTTACAATCTGTGTCGCACTGTTCAGGTCTCTCTAACAGATCTCCTTATGTGCTTTCTGACACTTAATATTGACCATAAACTTAATTAATCTAGACTACCATCTTAATAAAGACCATAATCTTCATTAATCTAGACTAGCACCTTAATATAGATCATAAACTTCATTTATCTAGACTACCAGCTTAATACTGACCATAAACTTCATTAATCTAGACTACCATCTTAATACAGATCATAAACTTCATTAATCTAGACCACCATCTTAATATCGATCATAAACTTCAGTAATCTAGACTAGCATCTTAATATCGATCTTAAATTTCATTAATCTGGACTAACATCTTAATATTGATCATGAACTTCATTAATCTAGACTAGCATCTTAAAATTGATGACAAACTTCATAAATCTAGGCTAGCAACTTAATATTGACCATAAACTACATTAATCTAGACTAGCAGCTTAATATCAAACATAAACTTCATTAATCTAGACTAGCATCTTAATATTGACCACAAACTTTTATAATCTAGGCTAGCATCTTAATATTGACCCTAAACTTCATTAATCTAGATTAGCATCTTAAAATCGACCGTAAACTTAGTTAATCTAAACTAGCAGGTTAATATCAAACATAAACTTCAGTAATCTAGACTAGCAGCTTAACATTAACTATAAATGAGGCACAGATCACAAATCAGTGCATGAGGTTATGAAAAAGGGAAAGCTATAGTGTGGTTTCTTACCCAGGTTCTGTTGGACCTGCAGCGAGAGCGAAAGGCGAAGAACATGATGATGAACAGCACGGCCACCACAACGGTCAGCATGATCCCCACATCATAGTGAGGCTAGAGAAAGAGAAATGTCAAAGCAATGCAGGCAAACAGGAAATTATTACTTTATTGATTTTAACATGAGCATGCGCCTGTGTAAATATATGTTCGTTTATGTGTGCTCACCCATTTTGGCGTCTCCACCATGATCTCAATCTTCACCACGGCCTCCTCGTTCTTGTTGACCAGTCCCATCAGCTCCTCGGCATCTGCCGCCTTAACCAGCACCACCGGTCGTGGGAGGGAGCCCGAATCACGCAGCTGTGTGTACACGAAAAAGGGAGATTTTGTCAAAACTTCACGTGACAGGAAATTTCAGTCATTACTGAATTCTTTCTTCTGGGATTTACTTTGTCTAGTCAACCTACTCGACTCTCAGACCTTATTAATTATGTTCACATGCACATTAATAGTTCAATATGACTGCTAGCCTGAGGCATTATCATGTGAACAGCACGTTTTGGTTATCATGGTCTGATTAAAAGAATGGCTCTACAAAAAAAAATCTAATTTACACATTTTTCTGCTTAGCTCAGATGTAGCTGAGACATATTTGGTGTCCAAACTTTGTTTCTTTAGTTTAGCACTAGAGCTACGATGCTAACGTTGCTAACAAAGACTAGAAGCCAATAGTCACCCAAATCTTTTCCACAAATACATCCCCTAATGTTCTCTCAAATCACATCCAGGTCTTCATTAAGGTCATGCCGGCCTTCTGATGTGGTTTAGGACACAGTATGACTTACTGTGAACGTTAAAAACTAACAAAACTTCACTGTGTAGCTGAACTTTGTGGTCAGCCAACAAGTTTCTAGACGACTTCCGCCTCCCCCGCCGAATCTGGCCGTTTTGCATGCATGTATGTCACGTAGATACAAGATTACATTTGCTTTTTCTACTGTTTGTACATATTCTATTATAAACATATATCTTCAAAACTCTAATTTAACAGGTATTTATAAATATAAACAACAGAAATCACAGATGTTATCTAGCTTTCATATGTTTATGTGACTATGTGCACATTGGCTTCTGCAGGAGAGTCAGAATTTGGCATACTGTTATATAAAGGGGCTGCCCTCTGCCCCACTGTGAACACGTAGCTGAGCACAATGTTCATGTGTAGCTGCCCTCAGTGTTCAGCTACACTGTGAACGTTCGCTCGTGTTTAGAAAGCCTTACTGTGCTCTAAACCACCTCACCAAGCCTTAATGAAGAACTAGATGCGATATGAGCAGGTTGAGAAAGGTTTTGAGGATATATTTATGGAAAACATTTCGGTGACTGTTGACTTCTAGAGTTAGCAATGTTGGCATCGCAGCACCATTTTACAACTAAAGCAGCTAAAATCTGGACACCAAACTTGTCTTGGCTTGACTACATCTAGGGTTAGTGGAAAATGTGTAGCTTAGATTTTACGCTGAACCATTCATTTAAGGTCTGAACCTGAATAAACCACATGGTCCAGGTTTATATTGGCTGGACTATTAAAGATAGATTTGGACATGTAAATGCTTAAAACACATTTCTGTTGTTCCACACGTGTTGAAACTCCAAAACAAATCTGAGTGAGAACAGTTAGGATGGGACGTCCCACATAGTGAAATCTCATTTAAAAAAATAGAATTATATATTTAAATTGGAAAAAGATTTTTTTAAGCAGCAGGAAGCTCATAGATTGATCAAGTTTGGTGCATGAAGGCAGTGTTTCAAGTTGTCAAGTCAAACTATGATGGTGTGCATGCAGATGGGACCAGAAATAAAGTACGCTTTTAAAGAACTACTGTAAAATGTCTTAGTCTGAGAAGAATGAGAAATCCGAAAGAAACCAGAGTAAGAGTTTACATGCACTGAGAAATCTGATTACTGAGCTAAAATCCAGCTCTCGTCTCGATTCTTTACTGGATTTCTAGATCAGAGTATGGTGTTTACCTGACCATTTGAATAATCGGATAACTGCAGAAATCTGATTATGATATGATGCATGTAAATACACGTAGTGATTTTGACCGTGCATCAATAATGTGCATGTTTCTTTTTCACTTGTCACAAGTCGAACAGAAGCGCAATCAGGCTTACTCACCTCATGAGCAGCGCCGGCATCATCGCTGATATCAAAAATGACAGCCTGAGCCCCCCTCTGCAGAGCCAGCCGAGCCTAAGAGAGAGAGCAAAAGAGTGTATGAAACTTTCTCTTACAAACAAATCAATTTTTTCTACAATTGCTAAGAAACATTTTTCAGTGCCAAGTTCACTTTTGCATATCTCTTAACACGCCTCTCTGCACAAACGCTGCACAGGTGCTCATTTTATACCCAAAATGCACTACAGTGATGAGGTGTAATAACACACCACAAACAATTTGTTAAGACTTTGTTATGCATCATGAAGTAATCATCTAAATTCACATCTAGTTTATAACTGGCAACATCTAGTGACTTCTGAAGTTTATTACTATGTATTAGAGCTACTAAGGGTTTAATCAACTCATACTTCAAGATGTGTTCTATATTCTAAAAACAGGCTCAAAAGTGCTCAACAGGCTTTCAGATCAACTAGACTCTCATATTCTAAAATAAAAATCATTTCATAGCTTTCAGGTAGCTATATATGTAAGAGTTTTCAAAGTTTTTTGAACAGGTATTTAATTTCTGATGCAAACTGACACTGAAAACTTGTTTAGTGAGCTGTAAACGCTGATTAGCTTTAGGGTCGGTTGCTCGGACAAAGATTAAACCCAGTCCAGGACTACACAGCATTCTGAACAGGGATTCTCTATTGAAAGGGAAACATATTCCAGAACTACACTTAATCCCTGACTGGGAAATCGACCCATAAAGTAATAAATTCCAGAAGGTTCTTGATGCTATCAAGACCTTGTAGGAAGCAAATGTTGCCAATTATGCACTGGATTACTTTATGCTCAATAACTTGCATACCAAGGTCTTAAGAAACTGTTTATTGTTGGTTACAACAACAAAATGCAATTATTAGTGATTTTTTCATAACAGATCTCCAGTTATGCACTAAAACAGGCAATAATGAATAAAGCTTAATGCAAAGTGAATAAACTATTCAGAAGTGTCTAATCTGGGGTTGATTCAACAAAGAGGAAGACCTGAATAAGCCCCCAGTATGTGTTCCTTAAAGGGCAATTTCACTCCATTCCATTACAAAATGTTTGCATAACTAAATGGTTGAGATGTAAACAAAGTCATTCAGGGTGTTTTAAAGTGATGTCCTTCATTATAGAGAATCTTACAGACTCAGATGTCTTTACAGTGGTGGCGACAGGAACCAGGGCTTGCAATGTCTACCCTTTAAGCCCTTCAGACGTCTGGTTCCTATCCCCACCACTGTGAACAACTCTGACTCTGTAAGGTTCTCTAGAATGAAACATTTCACACCAAACTGCTCTGAATGACTGCATACATATGAACCGTGAAAATGGGTGGAATTCCCCTTTAAATAAAGTGTGACTGAGTTTTATTTGTGCTCTTTCGAAAAGAGTGTTGCCTGTAATGCTAAAACGTGCCACTAGATGGCAGAGCAAGTGCAAAACATTGGAGAGCTTCTAGGCTAAAGTGCAGTCATTATACAGTCTGACCTCCCACCACCACAAGTGACCTTATGTGTGCGGAAAAGTGTGTGGGAATGTATGTGCTGACACACAGCCATACTGTGCTGGACCCCATTCGCTGGACACCCAGCAAACAGACGGAAAGAGAGAAGTAGCACATGCTTGGCCACTTCCAGGTGGATACAGACGCGCACACACAAAAGATCTGGGTGAAAAGCTCACTCAGCAAAAGCATTAATCACCAGTTAATGAGTATGCCGCCTTGAGGGCCTTGGCCTATCTGAGCCTTTAACACTTCAAACAGCTGAGAAAGAGAGTTAATCCATGACTAACAAGCACATACTCACTCACTTCCTCCCACTGTATACACTAACTGTCAACGCCCCCACTTCCCCATCCATTCTAGACTAATGTAAAGGGCCTTCTGTTCACAGAGAAAGGGTCTGATTCATAGCTCTGAGCAGACAATGTACAGGACAGCACTCCACTTATGTGTATTAGTGGCGTTTCATTAGAATGTGTTGGGGTAAAGTGGGTTAGAGAAAGTCACATTTGGGTCATTGCTTAAAAAGAGTACTATTTTTACCTCTCTCTATACACTGTAAGTAGGTCTGAAGGGTTTTTGAGGTTTGAAAAATACTGTAGCATGTTCAACGTTTCTGAAATGTTAGTTTAAGTCATTGGTTCTTCAGCATTTATTCACGGGTTATTCTGATAAGGACTCTTACTGTGAAGGCGGGGATAGTTTTCCCCCAGGGGGATACGTCTGTAAAGCAAGAAGAACTGAGAGTCAGCCATGAGCTGAGAGAATAAGACATAGCTTAGGCTTAGCGCGAGCTGTTAGAGAAAACTCTGCTTATGTCCGGCGTGGCTGTGGCCAACAACAGCTGGAGAATAAAGCACCACTACTTGTGCGAAAGCTGTGCCTCTTTCAATAGCAGTCAACACAACAACATTCATTTAAGTTAAATATAATCAGTTAAGTTGCCTGTTAGCACATGATGTAACTTTTTAGGTTGAAACTTTTTAAGAGCATAGACAGTCAATGAAGATCGCTTTAAAAAATTACAAAATAAAAGTACTAAATGGGAATTCCACTGAGGAATAGGAACTAGGGGTTGCAATGTCTACAACATAAATGTAGCCATTTTATTTACTATCTAAAACAACCAGTGGAACCACACATCTCAGTTTTTATACGTAATGTTGATGACAGTAAAATACTAGTAAATCTGGAAAAAAAAAGGTTTTCTTAGAACGTCCTGCCTGTACCTCTCCACCATGAATATACATATAAAATCTCAAATTACTATTACTATTGCAATGAATGCCTTGGGTCTCAATATATCATAACAATCACTGTGAACATATAAGGTCTGAGTACTTAATTGTTTTTTTTAATAGTTCTTTTTTTACTGTGGGACTAATTCGGTAGAACATTCCATATATACATATAGAAAAGAATGGCAATGAAAGATAGAAAAAAAAAGGATAAAAATGCTGCAAATATGTAAATTACACCTCATGGGTGACATTATAGTGAGAACGATGCAGTGTATCAAAAAGTATGACCTGCTAATTTGGTCATCTAGTGGGGGAATGTTTTGTGTGCAACTGCTCTGAGCAACACTGTCAAGATGCACAGAAATGTCTTTTTGGCACCGGCCTTGCGGAATGACCCGTTCAGTTTATCCATTAGCATTTTCGACTGGCCTTTTTGTAGCCATTAGCACATCTTACAGTTGGTATTTTTCCAGGTGGTTTTTATTTTTGGCCCTTTTTGTTATTCACATGAAAGCTGAATTTGGTGCACACTAACAAAACACATCCACAAAGACAGAATATATTTACTGTCCTCTCATTATGGGAACATTTCGTCCCCACAAAACGAGCAAACTGGAGCGCGCACACACGGAAAGGGCAAGTTTGGAGAATCCCGACCACAGCAGCGTCTGACATCCTACTGGCGCAACCGCGGAAACCATTTCCAGATCAATTCAAATAATAATCCACGCCACTGCCTTCATGTGGCCATAGCACTATTAATCTAGACATGGGTCTGACTCCAAGCAAAATAAACGTGACGGCTTCATCTTCACCACAGAAACCGCTCTAACGGTTCAGGATTTGTTTCAGCACGCCTCTATTAGTATAAATATCACAGTAGCATTGCACAATATTGACAATATAGCATTAAAGATGATGAAACGCAGCAGAGTGTGGGATGACTGTGTGACTGCAAGCTTTCTTCAACATCAATTACTACATACAGCAGGCTGGGCATGTGAACAGCATTCGATTGGTCTTTTAACAGGATGGTTTGATTTGCTGTGGCAGTAAAGGAGCCTGGTGAAGACACGACCTGAATGGGGCATTTTCACTTCACATTCAGCTCCGTGGACTCAGTGTGGCATTAAAACAGCCAAGAAACATGGCAACTATCCACAACTACAGACAGCAGTCAGGCTTCAGACAGACAAAAGCATGGCTGCTGCTACTGCTTTCAGCTCTGCAACCTAAATATTTGTCTATTTCATAGATAATAGAATGTCATACAGTGGCAGAATCTACATAAGCCATATTCCTAAAAAGGAATTCCACTGATTTTCCAAAATCTCTGCGCAACGAAATGGTTAAGACACAAAGTCGTTCATAGCGGTTTGATTTGAAATGCACCTTTGTACCAATTCAGTTCACAGTGGTGGTGATAGGAACCAGATGTCTGAAGAGTTTAATGCCTCTACAAAAATTAATTATATTAAATGTTTTTTTTGATGGTGGAGAGGTATAAGGCAAAATAGTCAACAAAAATGTATTTTTATTTTATTTTATAAAAAATATTTTATTTTATTGACATTAGCCACTGTTTTACCCAAACTGTTCCCAAATTAGTCATGTCCAGTTCCATTTGCTTGCTAGGTCTCATGATCCTACCAGGCTTCGAGGGTGAAGTCTAACACATGCTTCCTCCAGGACACGTCAATATAAGCGCCATATAAGCGCCAGTGCATCTTTTCGAACCTGCCACTAACATCATTGCACAGCTCACCACGCTTGGAGGAGAGCACTAACCACCATTTCTGTAACATCAGCTAATAGATGCCAGTATCAGCTAGCAGTGATCTGAATGATGGATGGAAGGGTGCATTCTATTGTAGAGGGACATGTAGGGTGTTGTAAGGCAAAAGAGTCCCCAAAGAAAACTCATCAGCATTACTTCGAAAAAGTTAGAAGACACTTACAGGTTGTTTTGGATAGTAAATAAAATGGCTGTATCTGAACTGTAGATGCTGCGACCTCTGGTTCCTATCAGGGTTATTTATAGTTTTTTTTCATTTTCATTATGTTTTATGTTCTGTAAAGTAGTTTTAGTTTTGTTTTTATTTAGTTTCAGTTTTAGCTTAAGTTTTTAATGTTACGGCGAACGCTGTGATAGTGGGTATTTGATAAGACTACAGTAAAATTAAAACAGTGAACTGAGCTCAACTCAGCTCCAGTTTTCCCTAAAGATGGCTAAACAAAGAAAAGTTCCACTTCTAAACTTTCACTCATGCACTAAAAAAAAAAAGTTCGTTCAG